GTTTTTTACCATTTTTTTCAGTGGAGCTTTGACTTCTTCCTTAAATACCATTGGTTCTTGATCATATGCCACCTCCTGAAATAGATGAACATCAACTAATTCTTTTTGGTACAGTGATTCTGTGTATTCCTTCCTATTTTTTGTTTTATTATTTCTTTAAATGTTTTCTGTGTCATTCAATATTTTGCCCATGTTGTTGTTTTTAGGTGCTGTCGAGTTGGCACTAACTCATGATCATATGTACAACAGAGCAAAACATGACCCAGTCCTGTGCTAGCCTCACAATCTTTGCTATACCTAAGCCCACTGTTGCAGCCACTTTGTCAATCCATCCCCTTGAGGGCCTTCCCCTTTTTCATGGATCCTGCACTTCACCAAGCACACTATCCTTCTCCAGGGAATGGTCCCTTCTGACAACATAACCAAAGTAGGAAGGCAAAGTATGACCATTATTGCTTCTAAGGAGCATTCCAGCTACATTTCTTCTAGGACAGATTTGTTAGTTCTTCTGGCAGTCTGTGGTACTTTCAGCATTCTTTGTCAACACCACAACTCTAAAGCATTATTTCTGCTTTGGTCCCACAGAATCTTTCAATATTGCAACTCAAAGTTTGCATTTTTTCTTCAGTTCTTTCAGCTTAAGAAATGCTGAGCATGTTCTTCCCTTTTGGTTTTCTAACTCCAGGTCTTTGCATATTTCATTTTAAAAACTGACTTTGTCTTCTCAAACTGTTGCTGTCTTCTCCTCCTTCTCCACTCCCCCTCCCTTCCTCCTCCTCCTTTTTAAATTGTGATTTGGGTGAAAATTTACAGAGCCAATTCACTTTCCATACAAAAGTTCACATACACTTTGCCTCATGACATTGACTACAATTTACGCTAATGCAACAGCTCCCCTCCCACTTCCTCCCCATCGTTACCTCTTCCCTGTGTCTATTCCCTCCATGCACTCCTGCCCCCTGAGCTGTCTCCCTGTGCATAAACAGCCCTTCTTTCTCCCATGATTGATCTCTCCAAGGATTGTATCTACCTCAGGTAAATGTTCAACTCATATGCCTGTCTTTTGTTTGTCTGGGAGCCACAGGTGTGAGTTCAGTTCCAGACCTGAACGGCAGC